AACAATATATATTTCAGACGATAGAGAAATCATTCCATAAATATTAGTACATCCAAATTATGGAACACATGCAGCAATTAAAATCATGTTTTAGGAGGATATTTATTATTATATAAAGAGGTTTACAATGTATTAGATGAAAAAATTATAGAAGTAGTATATTCAGCATAATTCTGACTTTGTAAGGGAAAAAACCTAACAAAACAAATAGACTAGAACAAAATAGCACCCAAATATTGTCAATAGTGCTTACTGCTAGCTGATAGAATTATGGGCTATTTTCACTTTCATCATTATTTTCTGTGCTTTTTAATCTTTCTAAAATGCACATGTATTATTTTTATAATCACACAAAGTGTGTTATTTTTTGAAAGAATAAATGCAAAGCCCTTACAATATAACTGAAAACTCTTAACACATGAAAAATTAGATGATACGAAAGGAAAATAGTTCAAACACAGGTACACAAATCATGTCAGTACAAACTAAAACATGATTAATAACTAATGATCTCTGTCAAAAATATGGTACAGGCATGAGTTAACTAAACCGAGAATTCCTCAAGGACAGAAACCATGTCACAGAAATGTTTAAGATGTAGTTTGAAATAATGATTACATGAGGTTCAATAACCAGGCAGACCTGGGTTAAAATCCTGTCTTTGCAATTTAGTAAGCTGTATGACCTTGGGTAAAATCCCTTAATTTTTCTAAGCCTCGGTTTTCTTGCCTGTTAAAGATTTTTATGAGGTAATGATTATATGTCATAGGGCTCTGTGAGGGCTCAATGGTGTAATGCATGCCAAGTACTCACTGCAGAGCTTGGCTTCAGGTGATGCTCCTTGGATGAATGAACAAGCTGCTCTAGAGTTCAGAGACTGGAAGAATCAGTGGGACTCGAATGATCAGGGACAACCTAGACACAGGTGAGATGTGAGGTCTTACGAAGGCTTTCTCGCTGAATGAGACGAAGAATTAAAATCACTATCTAAATATCTGGATTCTGGGCCGGCCCGGTGGCGCACTGCTACAGTGCGC